ACATATTTTTCTCAGTTATAATTACTTTAATACACAGTCTTATGATTTACTGACATAATAAAATCCTGTGTGTTTATATTTTGTTACCCATTCTCAAAAGCTGGTGGCACGGTCTTTAAAACTGTAATAACAAGGCACATTATATACTTCTGTCTGCTTCTGGTTGAACACCGGCAAAGTTAAAAATTAGGCAATACAAATCAGAATGTTTGTGCACACATAAAACATGATTTCAGTTGGTACAATACACAATGATTAGGCTAGGATGTCCAGGTGTCACATCTGAACTTTTGCTCCAATAAATGATGCATTTCAATGAACTCACATAAAACATGATTCTGATTAAATTTTTATAATTTTATACTTGCTGCAAAACTATAAACAGTAATTTTATATCTGTTTTATCTATGTTCATGCAAGTTTACTCTGTGACTTTAAGAGCCTCATAAAATATCTTACTGATTCTCTCCTTGAGAACCTGATGTATGGAAATGTCTTTCGCTAATGTTTCAGGTTTGAATGAGGTTTCTTCAAGGAAGTAACTCCAGATTTTACCGTATACACATTGATACATTTGAGTTAAGGCGATTGTGCACTTTGCCCATTTAGAGCAGCACAACAGGTTCACTTTAATGCGCCCTACCCAGCAGCAAATACTCGACCTCTGTTCGCTCCCCAGCTGCCAAAGAAAGGAAGCCCTGCGTTAGCTCTGTGAAACCAAACACAGGGCTGAGGACTTCTAGCCACCATGTTATAGTACTGGGTCAAACATCTCCCACATGACAGAAAGGGAGTTAGTCACATGCTCCTCCCCATCGAAAGTACCAGGCACTTTCTTGCTCTGGGCAGCCAAACAGAGCGGCAGAGGAGCAGAGGAAATTTGAATATGTGCTATTGGGGAGGGGGCATTAAAGAGAACCTGTTGCCAGACCATTGATGTACTGAGAACTACAACAGCCTATCTGGTCCTACTTTTGTACACTAGTAGGTATGTAGCACAAGAACTTTTAGCTGCATAGTGCACAAGCAAGGGTTACAGTCATAATACTTTTGCTTGTTACAGAGAGCACTCATTTGGTTCAATGGTGCCGCTCCCTTGCTAGTCAAAATGCTACAGAATGTCGCTCATAAGCAAGGCAGCAATGACAGATTAACACCTTGCTGTTTACACTAAAAGATTAATTCCATAGGATCAGGTGAGTTCTCTCAGCTCTCTTAGTGGTCCTGTCACTGGCAAACAGCCATCAGCAATAGGATTGACATAAAGGCTCAAGGGCAAAGGTGGTATTAATATATAGTGAGTAAATGAGAAACACACAAGAACATGTTAAAAACAGGTATACAATTCTGATTTTACCTTACTTCATTGTTAGTCTTTGGTAGTCTATTGTCTCCATGAAGTCGGTTCCCTTATCAGACAAGTGTGCAGATGGGAGTAGACGTTTCTTGCTGGAGTCCCAAGAGACAGAAGAAGATTATGGGTGATCCAACCCACCATCAATCACCTAAAATTGAACTGTCGTTTTTTGGTTATCCAACACTTTTATAAAACTGTCAAGACTTGTATCTCCTAGTTACAATGCCTGCTTTTACCACTAACTGGGCAGCTAATTTAACCATTCATGACTGCAAAAAAATGTGCTTGACTGCTTAAAGCAACAATATTTCCAATATTTATTTGTAAGAAACCGAAAACATTTAGTTTTGGTATAGAGGATAGCCATAAAACCCATTACTTTCCAATCGACAAAACCAAACGCACTCTGCTTCACCATTATCGTAGATCTCTAAACATTTTACTTTTTCTCTTTTAACATATTTATAAAATGTAAAGCAATGGTGGCTAATCACAATAAATCAGAGGCAAAAACAGCAAAACTGGTAACATAAAGGAGAGTGAAGTTATTTATTCGATGTCAATGCTGAATATAAAATACATTCTCTCCCTGGAAATTGGTATTTTGTATGAGAGGTAACGCACTGTTTAGTGGTTTACAGAAAATACCACCGCATTTGACTGACAATGACTTATTACTCCTGTGCTTTTGAAGACTCATAATAATAATAAAATAACATACACATTTATAGGCAGTGAAAACATAAATGACTTAGTAGCCTTATTAAACGAGATATGTGTTACCTGGATATTATAAATAAATGTCACCATTTAACAATCGTTCAAATAAGCACACATTTGACATTTGCTTTAAAGTGAATGCTAAACCTACAATGATTTCACATTTTACCAAAATGTTATGTCAAGCTTATTTCACTGCAGTTGCAGTTACAACATGAACTGACACTTTAGGCATTTGTGATAACCAAAGCAAAGGAAAATATGGCTACCGCCTATAAAAAAAAACAATCAGTATATAGCCTTTAATTATGACACAGTTGAGGGCTGCATGTAACATTTTTTTAATCTGAGCTACAAAAATTTTTGGCGGTACAAGCTTTTAGGAGATCTATGCCCTTCTTGCAGTCAAAGCAGAACTGATGTACAGAGGTTTAGCAAAATGCTAACGCAAATTTTGCAATGAACATAACAGAAACTTAGGGACCAGTGAAAATACGGGCTAATAAAAGTGAGCCAAACAAGGAGTAAATAGAGAATGGGTTATGGGATGAGAATGGAGAGAGCCAAACAGGTTAGAATGGTCATGAAGATATCTGATGGTGATTTAGAGTAGCCTTTCTCAACCAGGGTGCCTCAAAATGTTTGCGATGGTAGGAAGGGGGAACGCTGATGTAAACAGAAGACTATGACATAACAAGGGGACTTCTAATATGAAAGAGAGGCTTCTAATGTTAACAGAGCTTCTGATATGAAGGGGGGGGGGCTTCTAATGTAAAGGGAGATTCTGATGTCAAAGAAGGGTCCTGATTGGAAGGGGGGCTTTTATATAAGGGGAGCATCCACACTTTGTGTGTTTTGCCTTGTGTCCCCACTTAAAATCCATTACATTTTAGTCAGGGGTGCCTCAATATTTTGCATAGTTTTTAGGGTAACGTGACTGAGAATAGGTTGAGAAACATTGCTGTAGATCAGCTATACATAGGCTCTAGACATGTGAAAGGAACCTACCGAAATACAAAGGGTTGATTACTGATGTAAAGGGGGACTCTGAAGTGAAAGGGGGGGCCCTGATTTAAAGGGGATCCTAATGTAAAAGGGCGGGGGCTCCTGATTTAAAGGGGGTCCCCTAATTTGAAGGAGGGTCATTTCGAAGTAAAGGGAGGAACCACACTTTTAAAATCCAATATATTTTAGATTGGGTGCCCCAAGATATGCATACATATTTTGCCATGACTGAAAAAAAGGTTGAGAAATGCTGATTAAGAAAACTAAGATCAACAAAATGTCCATAATCATTTGTGTAAAGTAGAGTTCAAATTCTTATTTAAAAGGTTTTCCTTGAAAGGTATTGAAATTCCTTTTAAGAACCAAGGCATTCATGCCCTCCGCAGTAGTCTGGCTCTAAGAAATGATGTTAATCAAGTGAGCAGTAATTATCTGCATTGTGTCCTGTTATCATATGCCTATGCAGATTCATTATTGTTGCAATTTGTTCAAGAGAAAATAAATCTTTAAACGAAGATAGATCGTTCTATTTGTCTCAAACAATAATTAAATCAGTCTCAATGTATTACTTGGGCCGAAAGAAAGGATTAAGTCTCCTCAAAGCTTGTCCTGTGAGGGCAAATAAAAAAGAATCAATTATAGTACTCATCTGTGTCGTTACATGTGTGCTAATAAGGCTACAAACTCCTTTAACTTGCATTCTCTAACCTTCCTCGGGAAAGCAAATCATGAAACTTGTTTCTGTAAGCACTATGTGTCTGCCACTGCAGTGGCTATATATAAAAATTACGGGCAAGGGAAAGTTCAAGTGGAGTCCAGAGCAACATTTTATTTGAAAATGTGTACTGGCAAAATGATCAATGTAATCTGCAAAGTTGCTTTGAGTCGCACTTTTACTTTCTCTATCCACCAGAATTATGTGTTATCACCACTGGTAAAACAGTAAAAGGATTAACCTAGCTTATCCGTATAGTGGCAAGAAATGCCAGCCCTACAGCCATCATTTACTGTAAAGGAGAAAAATGATGAAAAAAGTCACATTTATACAGTAAACCTGGCTACAATGTCTAGAAAAATAAATGTATGAATGTCAGCATTTTGTGGAGAGTTTTATGAAAATTGTTGCCAGTTTTGGGTGTGGTTTACTGTTTAGTAAATATAACGCAGAGTTACACAAACTTAACCATAATGCTATTGTCTCTTTTAATTCATCCCATCCCAAAATATCAATGCTTGTGTCTCTGAAGGCAACGTCTGAGGGTTGTTTTGTGTAATCAGTCTTTTACCAAACACCTCTCTGTATATTTTTTCACGTGTCTCTGGAAGAGCCAGCACAGCCTTAATGTCCTTCACTTTGTCCAACAGAGGTTTCAACTCCCTTTGCAAAGCAGTCTGCTTGTTTCCATCATTGAATCTCTTGCCTGAAGGAAAGGATAACATTACTGTACATTGGACATAAAGAAACGGTCTCTGATCTACTATACCTATACCATGATTTTTGGCCACGCATTTATATAGAAAAAATCCATTATGCTCGTCAAAAAATAGATTTTGTTTCATGAATAACGTTCATCAAGAAATACTGCATAGTGTCACAATACATTAGAGAACCAGTAAAATAATACATAGTGAATAGAATATCTCTGAGGAACATCCAGCATTGAAATTAGCATAGCCTTCAAAGGGTTGCCACTGCAACATTAGTAATAGGGGGAACTTTTGCTTGAAGTGACAACATTATTTCCATTCACCAACATAGATGACATGGCTTTGCCATCTGGTAAGGCCTCTGGGTTGGCCATTCTCTGCTATTTCACAAGGCATAGCATAAGGCTCCTATTGTTCTTCAAGCTACACAATAAATTCATTGTGGTTCACTTTGTGGGACTGTTGCCATTTCCCCTTTTTTTGTAGTTTGTATTTTCTGCTTGCAAACAGGTTTGTCAGGAAATATCATTATATAAATCCATCTGTGTAACTGTTGCCATAGAGGAATACTGTTCAACGATCCCCATGTAAGATGCACCTGACTAGCAAAGTAGGCGTCTCTTAAATGCAACTGATATTTTCAAGTTGAGATGATTGCCAGGAGAGGCCATAATTGTTATTTGATGTTGTTTTCAATTCTCTCATTATTAATGCCAGGCTTCAGCGAGATCCCATCAGTCTGTTTGGTTTTGGCCTGCTGTGTTTCCTCTATATACTGCTGTACGGCCTTGAGCACTGCATTTTCCACCAGCCTTTTGCTTAAGCTTACCAGCTCTGCATCATCAGGTTCTCGTCCATTCTTATGACCTGCACACCACAACAGAGAAAAGCAAGTTCCTAATAAGTTTTCAAAGCGTATGGGTCGATCTAAACATTATCAGCCATAAACACAACAATTCTCCTAAACTCAAGTAATGATGGAAATCGCTGTGAAATATTTATGGTGACTTTACATAAAAAGCTACCTGTAACATTCAAGAGTATGTGTAAAAGTATTCGTACACCTGAACAGAAATGTAGGAATATGACATTGTTTGTAACTTTCCTGTACAGCCAATGATTCCATTGGCCACCCATATAAGGCCTAAGCAATTAGCATTGTATTTGAGATGAGAAACTATTATTTTGAGCAGTGCATACAATATCCTCTGTAAGTACACAATATAATAGAATATTCAATCAACTAAAAATCAAGGGTTTTCCCGGGTTCCCACGGTAATAACAACTATCACCTCATCTGACTACACTAATAGCAGGCCTGTAAATAAGTTAATATGCATAAATACATTTTATAAATGCACTTGAGCTTTTTTGCAGTATGCAAATGTATGTAAAGCATTTGATGTACATAACCTTCCTGCTGTGACTGAACTGTTGCGAGTGGCGTGTCATGTCTGATTTTGGGAATCTATGTGTCAACTCTGCTACAAATTTGCACGTGTCGGCTTGCTTTCGTAAATTGGTAGCAAGTACTCTGAACTAGTTTGCAGTAGAATAAAGATCTGTCACTAAATTAATATATGTGATGTTGAGTAATTCTTAAACAGTCGGAGAGGGCTAACTTTAGGCACATTTCAAAAAGTAGTTACATCTGAAGCAAATCTGTAGAAGTTCAGCCATATGTTTACACATTTAGACAAAACAGTAGGGGCAAAGAATTTTGACAGGTTTATTACATTATGATAAAAAATGTGCCCTCAATGTGTCTTTTTAAACTGCTCATTTTGTAAATAAAGTTGAACTCCAGGCACAAATGAATGCAGTTTTGCATTTATTAATACATTATATTTATAGTATAGTTTAAATGCAGTTAGTCTAAGTACCTGAATTTGACTTGGTATCAGCTATTGCTGTACAGGAAAGCTCAAAGTGGGAGAAGCAGAAGCAGCACAAGCAGCCAGTCAGTTGTGCTGATGAGCTAACAAGGGACATGCTGATAGAAGGAGAGAGCAGAGTGATGAACTAATCAGTCTGATGCTTCTCGTGTCCCTTTCTAGTTACAGCCTGGGGAGCTGGGACAATAATTGTAAGTGTTACTTAACTGCAGCAGAGAAAAATCAAGTCTACAGTAATACCTTGGTTTACAAGTAACTTGGTTTGAGAGCGTTTTGCAAGACAAGCAAACATTTATGAAAAATGTTGCCTTGATATACAAGCAAATGTCTTGCAATAAGAGCAACATTTTGTAGAAAAGCGCCACCCGAATAAGGCTGTAGCAGTGCGAGCGATGAGTCTGTTTAACGACAATGCAATGTCACATTGGATAGATTCCTTGCTAAGGTTTCACGAAATGAAAAAGATTCCAATGAGTCAAGAGATAGCAGTGATTCCGTTAGTGACAGTGAAAGTTGTCCTACACAATAATCCTCCTCTCTCTCGTCCCTCTCACACCGGCCACGAAGGTACCGGTAATTGGTTTATTTTTCGTTATATTTTGTACAGTATTATATTACAGTACAGTATTGTAATCATTTTATATGAATATTTTTGGGTTGTGGAAGGAATCATCTGAATTTCCATTATTTCCTATGGGGAAGTTCGTTTTGATATACAAGCGCTTTGGATTACAAGCATGCTTCCGGAACGAATTATGCTCGTAAACCAACGTATTACTGTACTGCCATGCCAGACAGGGCTCTGCTCTGTGGCAAAACTGTGTAAATCTCAGATCTTTGAACTGAATGGACAGAAATACAAATCCTTTGACACGTACAACAGCTCCAATATATCTATTTCATCTATCTATTTAGCTGTTTCCGCTTTAATATCTGAGGTCTGGTAAAGTGATTATGCTTTAGCATAGTCTCTCAAAGTCTGCCTAAGAAGAGCATGCTGGGAAAATATCATGCAGGCAGAATTAATTGTTCTCTCAGTCATGCCTCCCTCAGTTTTGACATTTTAGTTTTCTCCTAAGTCACAGAGTGAGGCAGCAGGGGTACTAATCAGTGTGAGACATCCTATAAGCTCACAGCCAAGAAAATAAAAAGCAGTGGGATTTACATGGCTTCATCATCGCATTGGCATCATTGTCCTGGAAACAGATGCTGACCCTAAACGATGCCTAAACAAAGGTGTTTATGACCTTCTGGGGAAACAGGAGGGAAAGACATTGTCTGGAAGAGTACTGGGATCTCTTTGAGAGCTTACACTTATTATGCATGCCCTTACTCTGCTTTAGGAATTTAGAAGAACTCTTTAGCATTAATTTATGCTATATGCCTTAATAAAATAAAGTATAATTACAGTTTTGCAAGAATAAACTTTGTAGGCAACAATTTATCAGTGCTTTAGGCCGTGCCTAGCAAATGAACATGTCCCAAATCACTTGTTGTTAAGCAGACAGATAATAACTGAGATGCATTTTCATATTTTATGCTGTGCTACACGCCATTTGGGAGACTATGGCAGTGTAAAAAAGAAAAGCAACTCAGACACTCCGTAACAGTCCCATTGCTCCAGGAGCATTAATAAAGAGCAGACTGGACTAAAAATCAACATTCATTCTAGTTCAGGGTCTCAGTAATGTACAGAGGCGTGTGACAACCTTTCCTTGTATGCTGTGTGAACGACCATGCAAGAGAGATGATAGAATCCTCTCTTGCTTTACAATCAAGTAATATGGTAGCAAACAAATATGAATGTATGTCAGAAGGCACAACTGCCACTGCATACCTGTATGTGAAAACACATAATCATTGTGTCAGAAAAGAGTATATTTTTTACATCATCTCCTTCAGACTTGCACTTGTGACTGTTGGAGGTGTGTGCTGGATATGGCTCATTTGTCCTGTGGGTTAATCGGGTCATTGATACTCATCAGTCAATATGTAGGCAGTTGTCAGTGACAGGGCAGCCTAGCTGGCTGCAGGATAAAGTGGGTTAATAAGTGTATATAACTACTTTCAGCGATTTTGATATGTTTATATGTAAATATGTTCAGCACTGTTTAGCCTCTACAGGCGGTGTCCAGCACCATTTTGGAGAAGCCTGGTGTCCTGATTGGACAGGAAATCTCGGGAGATTTGGTCGGCCATTTTGGGGTGGTTATCTTATATAGGAAACACAACCACGTTTGTAGTCAGAACACGTGTGGATGTAGACAGGGACAGAGACCCGCTTGTGAGGGAGAGTCAGGAAAGTGCAGGGAGAGTGTTCCAGCCTGTGAGGGATAGTTCAGGGTTCCTACGGAGTCCTGTATCGGTAATCCGGGTCGGATGAAAAGACTCCCAGGTGTTTATAACCAAACCAGTGTCTCCGCTGTGAGTGCGGAAAGAGTGTGCCAGACTCCTATCTCCCTGTACGGAACGAATATCGCTGCTTCCGGGTAGAGTGCTATCAGCCTTACAGATACGTATTGTGTGCTTGGGTTTAGACTGTGCCAGTCAGTGGGAAGTGTCTAGGGTGCTAACGAATCCCACTACCGCTTACATCTGAAGTGACTGTACTGTGTACCTGTGTCTCCATGCCTGGAGTGAAACCGTTTGCTTTACTATTGTAAATATTCTTCATACTACCGGCCCTCCGGTAATAAACGTTATCCTGTTAAAAGTCAATTACGTGTGATTCCCTCTTTGAAGCCGCCACACCCTAAACCCGCTTACAAATAGATGGTGTGTGGTTCCAGTGGACAGGAGCCTAGGCGGAATTGTAGTGTCCGCTTGAGGTGAGTGGGCCACAAAAACCATTGCATGGTGTGCAGCAGGCATGGGGGATCATGAGTCCACTTGACTGGATGAATTTTAAGTGTTTTGCTTGAGTTTAGAGTCTGTAACCTAATTATTTTGGGGACTATAAGCTCCATGTTCTGGTTAGTCTGGTGAAAGGTCACAGCCCACCAGTTGTCTTTTTTGGTGGCATGTAGAGACGAGTCTGTGGGGGAGGTGTGTCGCAGTTGGTGTGCAACTGGTGGAGGAAGACATAGGTGGGTTTTGAATCACTGGGAGGCCTGGGAATGTAGTGTGAACCATAGGTGCTTGACAATGCTGGGATGCTGTGTGAGTTGTGGGTTTTAAGTCTCTGGGTGTGTAGGTGACACACAATAAAATGGGGCAGGTGGTACAGATACTCATGGGTTTCGCTTGTTGTTCGACCTCACCCCGGCAGAAAACTTGTAGGGAAGTGACGCCCTTCCTCCAGCAGCCTGGCATTCTGAAGAGAAGTCCTAAGTGGCAAAAAATCAACACCTCCCCATGAGCTCTAAATATAGGGTGACATGGGTAAGGGGTACAAGGGGTGGGCAACAGCATAGTGTGGAAAATGAAGAAAGATTTTCATCACATGGGGGGGGAATTTATGGGTCAGGACTGGGAACAAGTGCAGAAGGATCAATACTATATTGGTAGACACTACAACAACTCACAAATGTGCATCTAGAAAACTCAACTGTGTGCTATGAGCTTTGCAGTACAGCAATAGACAAAATACAAACTTTTCACACAGATGTAGATAATTGTTTGTTGTCAGCAAGCAAAGTACTCCACCAATACTTGAAAAAGTAATCTCCACATAACAAAATTACTTACTTCAAAATTATTTTGTTAGCCTGCAATAACAAGAACCAGATGATAAATATAAAGGTCAATATGGTCTGTGTGGGCTTGTCTGATGACAGCTCAACATTTACTGGAAAAACGAATGCATTGCTCTAAAATGTTAAAAACGGTCCTCTGGAGAGCTTACAAATGCCACAGTCTGTGTGACATTTATCTGCTCCTGTTTATTGCTAAAACAGAGAAACCTGGGACAGCACATTTAACAGAGTCTGTAAGCAGCATGAGTAAGCCTTTTCAGACAAATCTGATGTTTGA